TTCTGTAGTTTATCTATTATGCAGTTAATTACACAAATGCTGTGAAAAGTTTCAATCTTCTCAACAAGTCTTGTCAAAATGGACGAGGCTTTATAGAGCTTAGCGAAGTCAGCAACTTTGAAGTAGCAACTTTTACTTTTCGAAAAGTTTTACTATTCTATTTATTGTTAATAAATCTTTGAAAAGATTTGGGAATTTTAAAACTCTTTTATTGTTCTCTAGTTAGAAGAGTTTCGCCAGTTAGACCGCACCTTGTGAAAGAGTACAACATAAATTTCTTCAAAAAGATGACTTTTAAAATGTCATATATTGATTTAACTATTCTCTTATTTATACTGGGGATAATTTATGTACTCTTGGGAATTTAATACTCTATCTGTCTTAGGAAATAAGTGTGCAGTTACTATCCGAATATATTTATTGGAAAGAGATCGACATTTTTGCCATTATTCTCAAAATTTAGTAAATTAATAATACTGACTTTTTTTTTGGATACATAATTGTATTCAAAATAAAGTTCTTTTAATGTTATTTTAATTCAGATACATGTATTTTTTCATTACTTTTGTATCTATTATTATTATTGTACATTAGAAGATAAAACAAAATTAACACTATTGAATATTATATTTTTCATTTTTTAAACGAAGTCGAATATAAATTTGCTTCCTAAAAATATTTCCTTACTCATTCCTTCAACTCTCCTCTATATTCTATTCTTTAATCATTATCACCATCATCATCATTGAAATATCTAAGATATCCAAGACATTCGAGACTTTTGAACATCTTAAAATAAAAGATCATCAAGATTTTCAAGACTTTCAAGAATACAACAATCGTCAGACGTCGGAGAACGATTCGAATATTTCGCCGCGCGTCGAATAATTTCATGTTCGAAGCGATCCGAAACACTTCATAACCCATCGTTAGCTGCCGTAGATAGAAAGTTTGATCACTTTGCATGGTAATCTCGTCGGTGTTACGCGGGCATAGACAGCTCGTCCGTTTTGTTATTCAAACTCGGCGCGTTAAAGGCCCTTCGCGCCGCCTGGAAAATTTCCACGTGCAAACCGATTGCGTTTCTGCTTCGTTAAATTCTTTGAGCTTCCCCGGGCTTCTACTTCTTTGCCGTGAATCGTGCCTCGAATTTGCAGCTTATTTATGCGGCGGTTAGTTAGACTCGCGTGGCGTTGGAAACTTGTCCCGGCAATTGGTTGAAGGAAAAGCAGAGGCCCGCGAAAAGTGGTGCCGGAGTGCTTCGGCGAGCTTCCGTTTCGTGGAAAGTGTTGCTTTCGCGGCGGCTCGTTCCGGCTGACGTTTACCGCAAAGCAAACATGTAATGATCGCCCGCGATACCTACAGGAGCGATGATGGATCGCCGTGGAAACAGCTCTTTTGTTTATGTGTTTTCAAATATTAGCGACGGACAAATACTCACAGTGATGGGAACGATACGATCGTGTACGATACGATCAAAGACGTAGATATTTCAAATTTTTTTTTAGATATTTCACAGAGAAGTTTGGACATTTCACGAATCTCAATTAAAAGTTTCTCTGTGAAATTGTAATTATTATTGTTAAATTGAAAACGTATTATATGCATGTATTATATATATATACGTATATATATATATGTATATATATATATATATATAATTCATTATTATAATTATAATCAAAGTATTTTTTACTATATATATAACATTATTATATATATAATACAAAGTACGTATTATATATATATAATCAAAGTACGTTATACTATATATATATATAACATTATTATATATATATATAATACATTATTATAATTATAATCAAAGTACGTTTTACTATATATATATATATATATATAACATTATTATAGTTATAATCAAAGTACGTTTTACTGTACATATACATATATACAGTATACGTACAGTGAAATATATTTTGATTACAATAATAATAATAATAATGATACATTTCATCTACTTTAATGTATCCATGGTATTTATAAATTTTGTGATGTTTCATCCTACTTTATTTATGTAATTCAATATATAACATCGCCATTTTGTAACATTAATTAAAGTTACTAAGACACTCGATAAAGTTAACAATATTTGTTAGATATTTATTTTATTCGAGTATCAAATACTTTCGTGAGATGCCAATGTTTTTACTATCTACGACTTAGGTAATATTCAACTGAATGTCATAATCCGTGGATTGATATCCGTATATTTGACTCGACATTGGTCTGATCATTGCAAACAAGCATTGATTCAGTACGGCATTGATTTGGCATTAATTCAGGAAAAATCGGCATGAATAATTAATACCAAGTATACCTGAAATTTCAATACACACACATATATATATATATATCGCTTCCCGCTCGCTGTGTTTGAATATCAATAGTACAGCTCTGGCGAAAAGTTTTCAATGAACAGGACGCATTCGAGGATATTAAGAAGCATCGACACATTCCAGATACAAAATGAAACTGCGATTTTTAATTAAATTCGCGTCAGCGAAAGATTTCAATGAACTTCCTTTCAGGGACAGTATCAATATCAGAGACACAGTCTGTACAAATATTTTCGTTCGAACGAAAAAAAAAAAAAATCATCAACCATTTCATTGTTATGTGCATAGTAACGTGTCGATACTGAATTTCTTTCAGAACTTTGAGTCGTCTCGAATTCTCCGAGCTTCTTCCCAGCTGTGCTCTCGGTTAAAAGCTAAGAACGACGCTCGAGGAGCACGCAACGCATTCCTTCTCGCGCGGGCCACTTTATAAAATCGCTAGCTCGCGTTCAGCTTCTCGCACTTTTCATAAATTTCGAAAATTAGCGGCGTCCCCCCCGAGGGAGCTGTCCGTGACCGATGAAACGAGCGGCGCCTTTTTTTACGGCGCCAAAAATAAATCGCGCAAATTCTTTTTGCTACGGCTTTAGCAGAAGCTCTGGTTTATCCACCGACCGAAATATCTACCGGCAAAAGTTCACCGGACTACTTATTCTTTTTCTATCGAAACATCGTTCTTTTCTCCTCTTTCTTCCTTTTTCTAATCTCTGTTGTCAGTTTCTTTCTTCGTGTCAGCGTAATTGTTTCCTGCAAATTTATCCTGCTTCGCCTTGTCGCTCTATCTGCTCAAATATCATTCGTATCTCTCTTTGCAAACAGTTTATTACTGTTTTGTGAAATACACACAAAATGTCACGCGAAATTATATTGAATGTTAAAATGAAAATGTTCAACCACCGGATGAGGGACGTTTCGACGTATAAAATGTAATATTTGAAATGTTATATTTATTACGAAATATTATACTTTTATGCTAGAATTTGGAACGAAACAAACATTCTTCCTACATTTTCCTTTTGAAGCAGAAATATTGCAATTACGACTGATGTTAAGAAATAATTGATCAAAATTTCAATAGCACAAAATGAAATAAAGTTACGTGCAAAAAAATTCATTTTTGGGGCAGAGACTTTTTAACTACATGGTACAGAACATTTAGTACATACGTGGAAGAACAACTTGTACTTATAATGTTCCTGCGACATTTTACACTATATTGATTTCTATTTTACAATTTGTCACGTGTTATGTTCAAATCATTCGTGTCTTATTTTCATTTCAAAACAGGGAACATAAATTTACATAGTAACCTATGAAATTTTAATGCATCGACAATTATATTGCAAGATATACATGCAATTCAGTATCGAAAGTACCGATTATTTGATATAAAGGAAAAAAGTGTCTTAGTACTTTTCAGCCACGCAAAAGAAATACTTTTCACGCTCGAGCGACCGAGTACCAATAGAACAGCTGCTAAGAAGAGAAGAAGGAGGAAACAAGACGTCGTTAAAAGGTGCTCCCTCCACTTTGAAGGGACTCGATCGGTAGTCGATCGGATGCCAAAAATTTGGAGGTTATCGCGCGGAGCTTATCCGAATCCTTCTAGCCGCTCTCAATAGATTCGACTAAACCGAAGTTTTAACTTATTTGAAATTGGGCCGAGGTCGGAGCGCTCGTTCGTTCCGAAATAAGACTGGAACAGCTACGCCGCTTTTCTTTCAACAGAATTAGCATTACAGCACTCGAGCGAATGTAACACACAGTTTCACTTATCCAGTGACTCACGAAGGATTCGAGAATGATTTGTTTTCACAGGTGAATTTACTTATCACAGGAAGATAGTGCGAGTAGTCGCGACTGTCGAAAGTTAAGTAAAGTTTTTCCAGAATAGCTGTAACTAATTTTCTAAATTTCAACTCGTGGAAATCTATGACGCTCAGAAATTCACCATTTTCCATTAAAAATAAAAACCTTGCACGGTTTTCTTGCTAAAGAAAAGATTCTTCAGTCGAGAATTTCGCTGTAATATTGCGACAATTGTCATAAACGAACTGATCATTAACGACGATGATTAAATTATTTTGTTCTCGCTTACGATACAAGATGTTTAGTTTCTTTACATACCTTACATACGTGACATTCTAACATCATTGTAGCGAGAATTTTAACCTTGAAAAACATTAAAAAAAAAAACTTTCGACCCTATTCATTTTCTTCCTTTAATATCATTTTCTAACTTGAACCAGAAAAGGTAAATGGCTTGAACTAGCCCGTATACGTAATCGCTTGAAGGATTGAAACAATTTACAACAACAATGCCCTCAGTCATTAATGCCCATAATAATAAATTAATTTTGTGCAACGAGCCAACAAAAAAGAAAGAAAAATATATGTATTCGCTGCCTATCTCGATAGCCTAATCGATCCCTCACGAATCCACCACTCGGCCCTATACTATATATATTCGCAGAAACACGATCGCGAAACGGTAATTCGCTCGTTTGTCGGTACAATTAACTTGCAAGGTTCGGCGAAGCAAGCGATAAATCCAAATGGAAATTGAGAACAGTCGTCTGGTGTGTCGGAAGATAGATGCTCGCTTAGGCAAACGATCTGTTTGTGATATGAAAGTCAACGTACCCTTGCTCGAAAATTCGGGCGAATCGTCGGTAGCTGCGTCCGCTCGACGCGCACGGAGCAGTATCAGCAAACTTGTCAGAAACACGTGTCCGGACGTGAGCCGCATCTCGAACCGGCAACCGAGAATCAGGTGTTCGAGTTGACGCGCCACCCACCAGCCACGTCCGATCCACACCTTCCGAGTCATTCGATCGTGCGCGATCCAGGTGTGTCCACGCGTCGCTGGATCCACTCAACGATCTCTATCGAACGACAATCTGAGAACGCCGATTACACGGCGTCGCTGTTCTCGCCTCGTCCGGTTCCAACGGCGCTCGATCGCCGCGATGATCGATCTTTCGACGCACGATCGTCTGCCATGTCAAAGGTGCGAGCAGAGGAGCGTTCAGCAGACAACTCTGTCGCGGGTATTCCAAGAATTTCAAGAAAATATTCTCGTTCCAACATCGACAATCGCGTTCCAACGGGACGATAACTTTGAACCGATCCTCCCGCAGAAAGATGAAAGAACGAAGATCCTTTTCCAAGGGCTTCCTTCTCGAAAGGAAGTTTCTGTCTCGGGTCGATCCTTTTTTCTTATTAGTCACACGTGCTCGTTATTAGTCCGGTCACGTCGGCGAGCCGCGCCGAAATCCTTTGATTAACAAAACGAGCCGACGTTTTTTTCTTTTTCTTTTTTTTCGCAACGCTCTTGAAGCAACTCTTTGTCCCTTCGTTCGCCGCCCCTCTTTCGTTCGCGCGTCCTTCGAATTCCTTCGAATTCCACCGGCCGTCTGCTTTGTCTAAATCTTCCTCGCGAATTCTCGATCGTGTTGTTCGTCAGGGCAACCGCGTGTCTCCCACTCTCGCTCCGCTTCTTCCGCGACGCCCCCGTACGATCGCAACTTTGATCTCCGGCACTGCAAACGCGCGGCTCGCGAGCTTTCTTTTTTCCCTCTCGCTCGTTATTCCTGGGCGGTTACCTCGTTCCTTCTTCTATTTTTTTTTTTTTTTTTCCTCTGCGCGTCGCGCGCGCGGTTTTAAATTAGACCGGTGATCAGGTGGCTCGATCGAACTTCTGTTCTTCTCGTTGCGTTTCCCTCTCTGCTCGTAAATACATAGAACTCGTCCCGATTATTATTGCCGTAGAGCTAAAGCTCGCGCACAATGGAACAACACTCGCTCGTTACGCTAACGATATCCCGCGAGGAATTTCACGGCGAATTTCTCTCTTTCCTCCGATATCGTTGCGCTCGTCGTTGAACCAAACTGCACGCGCGTGTACAAATTAGCGAACACGCAACAAGTCGACAAAGAAACGACGAACGAGAAAGGCTGGCGAACCTTTTACATCTAGGAAGATGTAAAAGGAAGAGGCCGCGCGTGTTTCGAATCCGTGGTTTGGAATCCGAGCCGAAAGAAACGACGAGAGGGAAGCTCGACACAACCGTTTGAGATGGTCGTCGTCGGCAGCGACTGCCACGGAACTAAAACCAAAACCCCGACGACACGCGTGTAGTTGCCCCCACTCGTGCACACCCTCCTCATACGGCACACGTCCATTTAACCCAGCCCCGAGGACACGCAGTTCAGCACGCACACGCTCGCGCTCGTTTACCTCTTCTCCGCTTCCACTCGCCGCTTTTCCCAGCGCAGCCAACGCGCGTCTTAACGCTGCAACCGAGATGCACCCGCTGCGGCGCATTCGTGCTAATGACGCGGGCAAAATCCGCTTCGGTGTTCCGTTCCGTTTGCGTTCCGCTGGGTACCCTGTTTTCTCTTGAACCCCCCGCGTGCTTTCACGCTTCTTCGCGCCGCTGAGAATAGTTCGAGGAACTTTCGAGCTGAAATTCGCAATTAGGAACGACGGAAATCGTCGGAAATTTTCGTTTCTTCGATAGACGGCTGCGTTCGACTATCGACCCGCTCGCTTGCGAAAGTTTTGGAGAAAGTGGAGATTCAATCGACGTCTGGAAACACTTTTGCAATTCGATATCGTGGCGTGATACGAGCGGAAATCATCGTGCGTGCTTCTTTTTCAGCCGAGATACGGAATAATAAATTAAATGTAATAAATATAAATAAAAATAAAATTATGAATAAAAAAATAGATAAATTTGTTTTTTTTATTAATTTTAAAATAAATATAATTATTATTTATATATATAAGTCTTTTTAAAATAACTAAATATTTTCATATTAATAATATTCTTGATAATAAATATAAATATGAAATTATTTATTAAATTTAATTATTTCATATAAAAAATTTCATTTTAATATAAAACTAAATATTAATGGTAATATAGAATAAATTAAAATTCATAATTTAAATATATAATTTATAAATCTGAAATTAAAAACAATATATAATTTACTAAAATTTAATTTTATTAATAAATTAATAATCAAATATAAAATAATTGAATATATAATAGAAAATAATGTAAATTGTTTAATATTAATTAAATATATAAAAATTATTAAAATATTATTAATTGAAGTTGAACATGCAAATAATTTTTTTAAAGAAAAGTTAATATTAATATAAATTGATATAAAAATTCTATTTAAAATCAATAAAATAATTAAATTCAATCAAAGATTTATAAAATTACAAAAAAAATATAATAGGAATAAATTTCATAATTGTTGATAAAAAAAAATTTGTTGTCGTGATGATTTTTCATAACAAAAAATTATTCAATTATGAAATGAAAATATTCTTATTTTTATAATTAATATTAGTATAAAAAAATTTATAAAAATTTTTAAATTAATATTAGAAAATAAATGAAAATAATTATTAATTTAAAAAAATATAAATATAATAGATGATAAAGATGAAATTGAATAATATAATTCTAATTATTTTCGTTAAATTTTTTATAATATTTAATAATCTAATTTTCTGGTCTCGCACAGCGAAGTTTTGCACGTCTATAACTCAAATATAGTTCTGTTTCAACTGCGATAGTTTTCTTTTTTTTCTCCGCGTTGAATTGAACATTCACCACGTGGATACAATGACGTATGTAACAGTAGCACGTGTGTATTTACGTATGTAAAATTAAGCGTTTCTTTAACATTATAATACACTGTAGTATTTCACGCTTTTCATTTCGGATGGAACGTTGTTACGCTAGAAATTCTTTGTTTATTTTTACCATAAAGTATAAACAAGAATGCACCGTTCGGAATATTTCTGAGTAAAATGAAAAAGAAAAAAAAAGAGAAAAATTATGATACCGAAAGATATGTTGTAGAAATCATTTTGAACAATCCTTTGGGACAAAACAAGACACGCGTAATGGAAGAAGAATGTTTCACTCGATTGTTTTCATTCACAATTTACCAAAAAACAACCGAGTTTGAAAATCTATCAAGCATACTTATATATATATATATTTGGCCAAGTATTGGAAAGTTTATTCCACGTGTGGAGAAATAGTTGGAAATCGAATTAAAGTTCGAGGATTTATTAAACGCACGTGTACCATGTGAATTCTTAATTAAGCATGTTCAAGTTGTCTATCCGATCGAAAACGAATAGAATAATGTCTCGTCGATTATTCATTGCTGTCCAAATTAGAACGAGCTGTCGAAATTTTAAACTTCAATTCACAAAAATTAACCTTCGAATGAAACTATTTATCCTGTGTAATTATTTAATTAATCGTACAATTGTATCATTGTATCCTGTTTGTCAGTTTGAATTAGGTCGGATTAATTCGGATATTTCGCGGACTTTTCGAATGAAATAGCATATGCTCCCGCTACATACCACCCATTGTCCAGCATTCACCCACAATATTACACAATATTCTCAAACTATTAAATACATACATATACATATACAAAACAAATTTGTTCGAAATGTTAATTTCAACAACGTGCAAGTATTTAAAAATAATTTGTCCGCCAATAACTATCAAAATCTCTAGCTACTGCCCGTTCTCGTTTTCATCAAGCAACAGAGTAATAGTTTGTCGGACATTTGCTGTGCATATTCGATGGAAAACATATCAAACAAACACGGAACCGGCGAAGCAAAGAACGCGCGTAGGGTAGAAAGCTTGGAAATGCATGCGTTTCGCTTCGCCGATTTGTCTCTCTCTCTCTCTCTCTCCATATATCTATCTATCTATCTATCTATCTATCTCTGTCTCTGTCTGGTTGACTTGAACTGTACACACACGTGGAAGGGAACACCACCGAGTTCGGCACGGTGGAATAAACGCGGGGTGAGTTTCTGTCGTATCATCGTGCAGACGATTACGCGAACGCAAGAGGGGACTGGGGTAGTGTATGCTGTATATGTTACAGCGTGTTGGTCCGGGGGTGGAGTCGTCGGCCGAACCGAGGGTCAGGAATGCCCGCTGAAGGGACAAACTCATCGCCCGAATGCTTGCCCGTTCGATTTGATGGATTGCTCGAACGATCTGGCTCGTCGCCGCGTGATTCGTTCGTTTCTAACAATTTTCTTTTCTTTTCTTTTCTTTTCTTTTTTCCTTTCTTTCTTCCTCCCTTTTCTTTATTTCCATTTCGTTTATCGATTCGAGGGAGACTGTTGTTAGACTGTTGCATATGCAATGTGAATATTATTTGAAATTTTCTGCATTTAAAAATTATTTAAACATTTCTGTGGAGAAATATGTGTGTGGATATATGTAATTGTGTGTATGTATTGTATGCATTGTATTCTCCTACAGAGAAATATGTGCGTATATAAATATATGTAACGTTTAAAGATGTGATGAATCATCAACTAGACTCGACACTTTCAACGCGCCTTTATATACCGCACTATGTTTTACATTGCTTTCACGGTGCAACATTTTATAAAAATTCAACATTCCATTCCATGAAGAAAAGGTGTAAAATTCAGTGTTCGTAACAGTGTTGATTATGTTGTTTAAAAAACGTGAAAACCGTGAACGAATATCGACTTCTCGTAAAACTGGACTGATCCAGTCACAAGAAGCTATTGCACTTGAATTTTTCTCGTCAATTTCTTCGCACTTTTCAATTTTGATTTTGTCTATCTCACGTTCCACATGTCGCTGTTTGTAATTTTACAATTATGACTTTCATATCATGTATTTTTGTACATATATTCTTCTTTCTTCATGATGCTCGTTAAAATAAATTAAATTAAGTTGACCAAAGCATTATCAATTAAAGATCTTAATTGTAAAACAAAATTCAACTTTGTCTTACAATTGTCGAAAAAGAAAAATCGAAATTTGATTGGTGTCATTTTCAAGAAAATTATAATCCTTCAAAGCTGTCAACAATCAACTAAAGATTTCAATTATAATAATTTTACCACAGATATAACACTACAGTAATTGGAATTAACTTGAAAATTCTCTAATTTTAATTAGAAAACCGTAAAGTGTTCAAGAATTGAGAATTAAATAACCAAATCCAAGCATGCAACCAATTGATTAATATTGATTAATATTGTTTGAACGGATCAAATCTGGTCGATTGCATCTTTACTAATATTATTCCTTCAAGAGGAAGCAACGAACGTGAAAACTTCCATTCAGTGTTCGACTCATTTCATTTACGAACGACCTAATGCATACGTATGTATGTACGTAGCTACTTGGTCCGCGGCATGAATCGGATAAGAAAATAAACGTTCGATGGAGAACCGGGCCTTCTCTAGCCCCGGAGTTAAAGAAAGATCTCGAATTCAACGGGAAAGTCGGACGGTGTTTATAATTCACGTGATCGATGCGTAGGTGGGAGCTCTGTGTCCACGTGTATTTACGTTCGGCTTTCTTTTCATAACGAAAGCGGACGAGAGAGGCGAATCGGTTACTGTAGCCGGCAAGAGAAGAGGCATTATACGCGTGGTGTTTCTAATGTCGCCGCACGCGGTTCGCGGCGAATCTATTTTCGGAATACCTCGCGTTTCCATCGCGTTGGATACCTACACTCTCTCTTTTTCGCCGAGGCCGACCGCACGCACCCACGTGCCTGTACGAATCGGGAATCGAGCAATTTTCTTGGCAAAAGTGGCCGAGAAAAAGTAGAAAAAAATAAGGGATACTCGAATATTTTCGTGCGTGCATGTATATTGCGACGAAGTTCTTGTACATCTTTAATGACGTGCCACGCACGTCAAGAATCTTTTGTCCCAAATTGCAACATTTTCTCAGTTTCAAGTATATTTGAATGTAACCGAGGCAAAACAAATGATAAGTTTATTACTTCTCAGTAATTTCTAATCTGGTGGTATCACACTGACGAGTTCAATAGAGAAAGAAAGCGACGAATTATAAGTTTGATGTATACGGTTCGGTCACTCGTTATGGTCCGCGCAACCAGTTGCCAGCGCAAGGTTAAGACAGAGTAGTCAAATTTTGACAAGAATGATGTAACATTCGACATTATATTTACAATATTCTTCAAGTATAATATCAAATATTATAAATATCGCGAATAATTTTAATCTATT